TGTAAATAGAGACTTGTTCGATAAAAATATAAATATAATATTTAGCAATACAATCAATTTACGATTACGTCTAAGGTTTTTCTAAATATATATATATTTAAACACATTGAAAGTACTCAACAAATGCATTGTAATTTATAAAAGTAGCTTCTTTTAGCATCCAACCTTTCTTCAAGACGAGTTACAGATTCTGTTGTACTGATTTCATAAAAGCTATGTTAGAGACATAAGATTTTGTGTAAAATCAACAAATTCAACAGGGGGGATATTTTGTTGCTTGTTCCGAAATCGCCCAAAGTAACACAGTGCATTGCAATTTGATTGAGGAAAGCGGACGTGAGCGATTCTGCCGGAATTACCTCAAGGACCGATGTCCGGAGAGAAGGAAGGACGCTACGAGAATGCAAACATATGGTAGCGATCGCTCGAGCAAGCACAGGATGTAAATTTCAGCCCTCGCTTTGCTTCAAATCCCTCGGAACGTCGTTTCGATCTGATTACTGTTCACCCGTGTCGCTATAGCAAAGTAAAAAGGATACCGCGATGCGAAAAAAAAGTAAAATAATCAATCGAGCTTAGTGTGCTGTAAAGGATTCAGAGCTGTAGAGATTTATGGCTCTAAACGCCAATGCCGCTATTGTTCGTTAACTTCAATTTCTGCAATCGGTACGCAACCAACGCGAAGTGCAAGCTGATTGCGAATAATGCATATTTTCCGATAACATCTTCATTCTACCAAACGTAGAAGAGAAGAATCGTCAGAGAGTCGCTTCAGAAGTTGCGCGAAAAAGAATAAAACTCGGAACAAATGTTGGTAGTACATCTGTTGTTTACCCTGCGTCTTGTACTAAATAATTCTCTTTCGTTCCTATGGCTTCACACCGCTCGGAAGGAAGACGAAGTTTCCATCCCGATAAAAGTTCTTTCATACCTCTCGAAGCCACTTCTCCTCTTCCTCGACATACAGCGCCGAGATCCGGCGCCTCCAATCTACGTATTTTAGGTACACGGTACTTTTCCAGGAAATGTCAGAGATGACTTTCTGCCGCATTACGGTAAATAAGGAAAGTTATTATGGCAGTACAAACTCGATGAGTGGGACCAGTGAAAAGATCTAGCCGGCGAGTGTTCGGTATACTTGCGAAATATGGGAAATCACGTGAGCATCCTCATCCTATTCGTACGCATTTTTGTAAGTGGAAAAAGATTTTACAGTAATATAATATTTGATCATGGAGATGTAAATAGAACGGCAACATTTATGTTTAAGTTCATTTTATAACGAGACTTTATATTAAAAATTAATTTCGCTATATAACATCAGGGATTCGTAAACAGGTACTGATACAACAAGAAAATTCAAAATCTTTGATGAAATACGTTAGTTAACTAGACGTGTACAAATGGAATAGACACAAAGGAAGGATCGCTCGTACAACCGTAGCATGCAAATTTCGTCGCTGTGCTTCAAACGTTCCACCAAGACTTTTCAATTCGACCTTCATTCATCAAACCTTCGACTTCGAGGAGAAAAGAACACATGGGCTGACTACACGCGAGCATCCATCACCCATTCGGTCTAACAAGTTGGAATCGAGCGAGGAGAAGAGAAAAATCGTGCCAAAGTACAGCACATCTTCCTCTACTCCCTATTCTCATACTTCGTACCAAGCAAGTCGATGAAACGTATACTTTATACATGGCAGCAGTGCCGTTCTACTCGCAGACAGACATGAATAAATAAAGCCTTCCGGTATGCTACGAAACCCCTCCGATATTGATCGCGATTATTTATAAATGCTGTTGATGAAGTATCCCTGTCACGGATGACAAATAATCGTTTGTTCCTCTCTCGATCTGACCTCTCTGACCTCCTTTCTACGAAGTTATCGTAAAGCTATTTTCTTCTCGAATCATTAATAAGTTTAAGAGACAGTTTGTTCCGAAAAAGCATTTGATGTCCAAGTTATCACCTGAACATGTAAGGCCACTATGATAAAATTTTTCAGATATTTTGTCATTATTTCGTCTATCTCTCTCACGCAGCATTTCGAGACAAAGAATAGAACTTTCATGGCAAGACTTTACGATCATAGTAAGCTAAAATTGATATAACGGAATCAATATAAAAAAATTACGATAACAATAACTAAACAATTGTGTGCATGTATTATACAGATTAAACGTATTCTCTGGATTTCGTATTTTCCTGCGAAGTGCAGTAAGCTTGTCTCGCGAATCACCCGCCAATTTCCGCGTGCTTTATCAACGCGAAACAGATACTCTATTATGTACTGCGTATGCAAAGCCATCGGGATACGACTGAGTCGCGAGGTATAGCCATCCGGACGCATAAAGTGTGTGCCGATGCAGCTGAAGCGGAAAAACAACTTCAATCGACGAAACCAAAGCATTCGGATCGACTGATTCCGCTTCCCGGCGACAAAATCCATACAGCGCACCAGACACCGAAATATACTTGTCTCCATTTATAGATACTTTCTTTTGTTGCTACGTCGAATCGCTCATGTCGACAGATGCGATTATCATTATAATATCAAATGCGATATTTTTGTATGTAGTAAGTATCACTGGATAAAATTAAGTGAAAAGATAAGACTTTCGAGAGACTTAGCAAGCTAGATTTTATCTCTACGAGTGCTTTGACGAGCTTAAAATAAATTATTCTTTGGCGCATTTAATCTCTGAAATAATCGTCATATTTCGGAAATCCTCAATTTTTAACATTAGCTATTTATGTGAGTGAGCTATTTGTCTGAAAACGCTGTTGCAGTGCCCTAAAGTGCACTTGAAAAAAATGAATAAAAAATAAGATCTTGCCCTTCTTGACAATCATTTGTTTGCAGAAAAAAAGAAATAATGACAAATGCATATAGGAAGCTTTTATAAATTTATAAGAGAAAACTGAAAATTACTAATAAATTGCTTTTACTTTAAACAGATTTTGTATTCCACTATATTGGCGGTAATATGCGGATTTCTTTTAAACCGGATAAGGAAACGAAACGTCATGTATTGACAATTACCAGCGACTCGTCCGAAATGGATTTAAAACTTAGTACTTTGAAAACGCGGGTCGTTAGCACTTTTTGCTCTCCTGAGGATTGCCAGTACAACTTCACTCTATCGAGAAACTTATATCCTCTCTGCATACATAACCCTGTGAGAAAAGAGTAGCTCCTGCTTTGCGTTCTCCTAATTATAAAGAGCAAAGTCTGTTATTAAGTTAAAGCATGGAAGTAATGAGCTGTTTTCCTTCCTTTACGAAGGAGAGTTCGTTACGACTGCTGATTTATTGAATTATAAAGTTTACCCAACATTTTGGAAGAAAAACATGAACATACACGAAAGATTTAATAATATTCGTGCATTTTTTTGCATATTTTCCGTTAACAAAGCATCAGAAGAAAAGAAAGATATATTAAATACATGAATTCATTTGAGGCGCGTTACCCTTGCAGAGACGATTTGTAATAACTGGCGCATATATCACGACACAAATTTAATTAAACGCGCCGTTGGTATTCATTTCACGCGCCTAATTTATGTGTGAATAACTACGCTATTCAGTACCGAGATTTCGCGACGATCCGAGCTCGCCACGTATTTATCTCTGTTCATTACCACCACAATAATAACTGCCATAGATATTTCGAATCTTTTAATTTTAATGTTACGCTTTTACAAACAAGAGCTTACTTTAATGAGAAAAAATAATTGTTCTGTTTTATAAAATTTTTGTTTAATTTACATATTTACAACGTAAACAATTTTTTCTACAAAAGTGGCCATTGCTATTAAACATTATATACGAATTAAAAATATATGCAAAACGCGACAAATTGGGAATCTTTTTTATAATAAAAATTTTAGGAGAAGACAATTTAAGTAATAATTATGGAATTTCTAATCAAATTTATAATCAAGATTGAAACGGATATTTTTAAATATTTTTTTTAAATTGTGAAATTTTCCTTAAATTTTTTAAATATTTGTGTAGCTTGTAATTATCGATTAAATATTTATCCGTTACGAACATATTAATAATGACTCGTTATACACTACGCGTTCGACTTCCGTCTACCGTACGTTTACATTAACCTCGCCACGAATGTCAGTGTAATAAAGAACGTTTATGATCGCATAAATTACGATCTGTTGCGTTGAATTCCACAACTTACGACATGACAATGGTGACAATACTGTCATGTGCACCTCATTCTATAGATGGCAACGGGCCGACAAAGTCGTTAAATGTTAATCTTCCTCTTTATAACCTGCCAACGTACCATAGTCGTTGTATAGTATTCACTGAGGGTGTTTTATATAAAACATCAGCGCCGACATCTAGACTGTTTTATTTTACGACATGAGTACGTCTGGAGCACTCCTCCAATATCTTCACCTCGTGTAAAATTAAAATCTTTTTCGACTTATAAAAATGCGTACGAGTAGGATGAGGATGCTCACGTGATTTCCCATATTTTGCAAGTATACCGAACACTCGCCGGGTAGATCTTTTCACTGGTCCCACTCATCGAGTTTGTACTGCCATAATAACTTTCCTTATTTACAAGTCCTTATTTACGACGTATAACCATTAATATGCAAAAGCGCATTCAACGAGTTCATTCATTTCATCATTCCTTCCCCTGTCGCTCGTTCTCCCTTTCCCTTTCTTCATTGGCGGTAGATATTTTATCTTTACCATTCTTGTTCGAGGATACCTTGGGAGATATTCATGTAAAATATATCCGCTGGCTTTTCTCTCTCATTTTTAAACAATGAAACGTTTTGTTCAAACGTGCACCATTTTTACAAAAAATTGTTTTTTATTTCCGTATGTACTTCCCGAGCTAATCTTATATAAAACTAAACTATATTCCCATAAAAAATTGTCAAAATTAGGGGGCGCTCGAGTGGCGTTACCCCTTAATGTTCATCACCACGGATATAAAATTAAAAATAAAATCACTCACCACCCAGATCTGCAAAAAAGATCTCGCGAAGAGCTAGGAATTCTTCCTCGGGAAGTATGTCCACTTTTCCGAAGCAGTCATTCTCGGGCCAGATTTCTCTGTAACATATATTCCTATTTTTTAATATCCGTGAAGTATAATGATATTAATCTATATAAATAAAACAAAGTCGGGTTAGTTACACCATTTATAATTCAAGAACGGCTGGGCCGAATTTGTACTAAAACCATATAAAATAGGGGTAGAATTTTCCAAGGAGTGCTATAGAGTGTATAGTTTTTCATTACCGATCTTCTGGAAACCGGTTTTTCTAATTTTTTTAATTCTTACGGGAAATATTTGGCCGAATCTCGAGAGAGAGAGAAAGAGAGAGAGAGAGAGAGAGATTATAACATAAGAAAAGCCTAGCAACAGCCACTCAATAGTATAATAACTTATTACAAACTACACAAAACTCATATTTCATAAGGCTGCAAAGTTTAATATATTATATACTAAATATGCTATTATTTATAGTTAAATCTTTTTGTTGTGCTTTTATGGAAAAGCTACTATAGTTGTGAAAAAAACACACAAAACTATAACAATTACTGCAATATTTACTGTAGTTTCATGTATTTTTTTCGCAACTACCTTAATCTTTTTATAGTATTTTTCCGCAAGAGTGGACCGTGCGAGATAAGAAATTAGCTATTTTGCAATATCGTACTTATAAAGAACTTACAAAAAAAAACCTAGATTTTTAAAAACTACATTACAATGTTCAACTGCGTAAAATCAGGCAAAACTTTTTGTAAAACAATATTTCAAGTTATAATACTCTTCTTAAATTACGATATCATCGGGAGTTTCAATAAATCATATAAAATTGATTTCTAATCATATAATTAACGTATGAAATAATAAGTTCATGCTATGTTAATAAGATCGATGTGATTAAATAAAGCAAGTTCATTATCTCAAGTTATACTAAGGAAGATTCGGTAGAGTGCAGTGCAGCGACGCGATGAGAAGTCCGAGTGGCAAACTCAATGAGTCTCATAGAAGGTTCCTTTGAGCATGAGAGCCTTACCACGATCTACACCAACATCGGACTCCTTGCGTCAAGTGCTCACACCCAACCCTCATTCTTCGTCGACCCACCTTCCTACCTACGCTACCGTTGATACTGACACACATGCATCTCCTTTACAAAGTATCTGTGTATCTTAGGGCCACAAAGCGGAAAGTGCCACCGCTGCCGTTAGACGAAAAAATAAGGAAGAGGGAAGAAAGACTTTCGAAGATGAGAATAGCAAAAAAGTAAGCTTCAATTTACATATTTAAATTTCGTCCAATTTATCGTTAACATTTATCACGATGTACGTTCGCGATTCAGAACCTTTTTTGCAAAAAGCAACCACAAAGTTTGCAAAATTTAATTATATATGATTTCATATATTTAAAAAAAATTAATAATTAATAAAAAACTTTATTTTATGTATAAAAGATTATTTAACTTTACTTCGTATATGATTTTCTTAGTACTTATTTCCAATCCCTCATAATTTACAAGTTATTGGCCCCTCAACACACTTTTGTTTAAAAAAATTTACATTTAAGATAGATGAAAACTGGGCTTAGTTGGGTCTGAGACACCCTATATACTTTATGAGAATTCAGAAAAAAGAGAACAGATGGTCATGTGCGAACGTGACTAGGAAACAAAGGTAAAGTCACGTCTTTAGGAACGCCCCGAAGAAAGGTGTAGCTAATGGTGGAACACTTTTAACCTTACATTACATGACGGGATGGATCTCAAACATCACTTCATTCGTTTTAAATGGTCTAAAAATATCTGCTACAGTTGTAATCATTTATAAAAAGATAAATAGCTTTAAAAAAATATACACATGAAAAAAAAAAGAACTTTGCATTGCCATGTAAATTCAAATTTGCTTTTACATCAAATTTTATTTTAATAATTCAAAATTGTTTTCTTGCCAGATTTTTGCGGTAAATTATCAAAATTATTACTCAATTTCAATTTAAAAAAACAAAAATACATCAAATCACGTATATATAATTAAATTTTGAAATTTTTTTAACTTGTCATATTTGTGAAGATAATCTTTAATTCATAAACTACGAAAATTTACAGCTAAAAGAAATGACGATTTGAAAATTCTGATTTTATAGACGATTAAGCATAATATTCGCATAATATTAAAACCAAAGAAAAAGAAGGAATCGTAAAGTATAAAGAGTATAAAGAGTATAATAAAAATTATAATAATATAAGATGGACTTCTTTATCACTGCTTTTGCAATGTAATCATAGCTTTTAGCCGTAAAAATAACAATGGCGATAAAAATCTTTTCTTCTTCCTTTCACTGTCACAGCACCGCGCGATTGATAATGAAAATCGCTCCCTACTTTACTCGGTCCTAATAGCGCCGGAGTCGCATTAAAATCCGGAGAATTGGATTTGGTCACTTGACATGAAATCGCACTTAGTTGCAATTGTACTATATAAAAGCGAAGCGTATGGACGGTTCTAACGCGGATACGTATGCACATAGAACGTATGTTTCGTTTTATGCGTATACACGCGGCACACATCCGTACGTCCTACAATATACAACTCGAACTGAAATCAAGTCCGGTGACATGATCCATCCACGTTTACACGCGAGCAGACACGTAATCCATGCAATATACGTTAGATGAGTTACTGTAGCGTGTATAAAACATCAAAAACCAAGTTAAAATCTGGGACAACAATCATTATAAAGTGTCGAATATGTAGCAGCGATATTTTCATTATAGTTCTATTAAATATATTATTAAATTAAACGAAGCCTTTGTATACTAATGAAAACTTCAATCCTCGGCTAATCTACTTGAAATTAGAGAAATTATTTTCTTGTTACTGATTTGCATCATCAAAATTTAATTTATAAAAAGATGTTTATTCTTAACCTCGGTATTCTCATATCTGCCATTTGGATAAGAAATCTGGTCTTATCGTTCCGTACGCTAGTCGCGATTCGCGCTGTATAGCGCGTTTTAGGTTCGCGGGTCAAGAGAGCCTGGTCCACTTTCGAAAGCTTTCCGAAATTCTCTCCGCTGAAGATGAATCCAATAAGCCGACGCAAGGGAGAGAAAGCAAAAGAAGGGTACTGTCCCCGAAGCGGAAGAAGTGGCTCGTACGACGCTACTGCTGGCTGCTGGCTGCCTGAATAGAAATTCAGCAGCATACAATCCCCATTATCCCTCGATTTGAAGTTCCGCGACAATGGAATCTCTCAGACGCGCCGTGCCCGTCGTCGTCGTCGTCGTCCCCCGACTCAGCGTTCCGACATACAAGCCGATACCGCTTTGCCAGACATGAAATAGATAATTTCGACACGTCCATTTTCATGCTTGGCAAAGACTCAAAATGATGAATCAGCCTTTGGACTCGGATATTAAATTGTCACACAGAAAGACTCTTCAATATATTTACACTGTCATACTTCTAGAAATTTCTCTTTAAAAGTTGCAGATATTTTTTTTCTATTGTCCTGGTTGTACACAAGAAGATAAAGTTATCCTAAAAATAAGTACTTCCAATGTTCTTGAATAAACTAGATTTCGCTTCTACGTATATATTAATCACAATATCCTAAAATACATAGAGAAGAGAAGAGAAATTTCAAACTGGCGCTTCTCAAACAATGTAATCATTACTGCACTGCGAATTATTTAGAAATAAAGAGATGTTAAATCGACGCAGATTTTTTTTCACCGTAATCATCTTATACGCAATTCTTAAGTTAAAATCACTGTACTGGTAGAAGGGTCACAGACGGTGCAAATGGAAAATTAGAGACTAAAACCGGTAGCCAGACGACGGAGTATTTGCTAGGCAAACGAAACACGATTACCAGAAGCACTACCCGTAACCGAGAAACGAAGACGTGTACACGAAGAGAATAGAAGGTATTACATTATTTGTCTTACGTACCTACGTATTACCGTAAATGCCTTATTAACAATATTGTCTGCGCCTAGGAGTAATCTATATATACGGCGTAGTCAACAGTCTGCTACTTTTATCCCCTTGTGTGCACAAAGTCGGCATGGTCCTGCAGACTTCCATTGTGTGCCGGCCATAGTAAACATTACCCCCCATAAAATGGACGGTGGAATATTACGTACAATCTCCCGAAGTAGTTCACAGCGATGATACGGCGTAAAGAAAAATCGCGGAAGGGACTATAATTTCATAGTTTTATGATAGAGAAAAGCGGCGACGGTAAAACCGACTTTTATCCCCGCGGTTATATCACGGCACTCCAATCTGATAGAACTAATAAAGTTAAAGATTAATGGTACAGCATCTCGTATCCAGTGTCCTCAGTTGAAACCGGCGTCTTAATGCAACGATGCTATTTTTAAATATCACTGACTTGAATGAATTCAGCAAGGTAGTTTCAGTTTTTTAGATTATAAAATTCAGGTGATAAATGTTACTCTCCGATCGTATTTGTCGAATCATTCTGTATAAGAGAAATGACTTAAGACATTCGCCATCTGTACACGTTTGCGTTTAGCGAAAAGGTGAAAATAAAAATGCTTTGAGACGAGCCGCGTAAATAATCTGTTTACACATCGACGGAGTTTATCAGCAAGGGGTATATCAAATCTCGCGGAAAGCATCGAGGCGGCGACTAAGCCTTAGAGCAAGAAGGGTTGGCGAGGTGGAACGCAGAAACAAGTTGGCGGAGGGACATGACTCATAGGCACATTTAGAGCTGGAACACTTTAAAGAGTTGGTTGGGTACCGGTTCACCCCGGTGAACCGATGTATACAAGTACGTTACAAGAGCGCGGCAGATCCCTTTCAGATTTAATGTAATGTAAATATCTGCGGCAGTGCAAACGCTTGGCTTTTCGCCAGTTAATTGGCCGTGTGACTGGTCGGTGCACAAAGCCGAAAAAATCTCAAACAGCTCAATAAGCGTAATTAATATATTACGATCAAGCTTAATGAAAAATCGCGAGACGGTAAGTTTTACTCGTTTTTTGCCGACGTTTATAAAAAATTAATTTTTTTAATGGAAATAATGACGATAATAAAGTCGCGAATTTTGTCTGATAAGTATAATTGTGTATCATGTATGATTATATATATAAATACTATATGAATAGAATAGAGAATGAATCAACCGATAACTTTGTTATATGTATGTGTTAAAAATTATATTATTAATATCACGTGAGGGGATTATGTTATTATTTATATCACTTCGTATATACCATATACGCTTTAGCACAAAGGATCAAAAATTCATTTATCAAATTTACGTGAATAAATTCCACGGTCTTACTGACCCTCTAACCCTAACGTAATGAACACCTTTGTTTGGCAAAACAAAGCCCGCACAACTCCCGTAATTAATTGACTTACCTCAAAATTGCCTTTTGTTATTGAAAAATATTAAATTCCACTATAAAAATATAAGCATTGCAAATATATAGAAGGCAGAAATATCTTTTTATTAATTTTATGTTAAAAAATAGTGTGAATTAAAAATTAAACGCTGCGAAATTCCAAACCATCGAACACAAGAAACAAGAACTATCTTTTATCGTGACCGAATCGATTTGCATAATAATTTACATATTTATCGCCCGGTACATTAAATTACGATATTATAAGCGAGAAATTATACAAAAAGTTTTATTACACGCTATAATTTCTCGCATATATTTCAGTTAGTAACAGCAAAGTAACAAAAAAATTACAACCTAAAACCTAACCACTCATTTGTCGCATTGCACGACGACGGTTTAGATGCAAAACTGATTCTCAAAATAAACAACAACGTTGCCATCGCTCGAGTACAACGAGTTTCATGGTAACAAGTTACTTTCCATGAATCGCTTCTCAAAATAAACAAATCTCTTACCTTGCTGCACGTAGGAGACCAACTGCCTGTTCCAAGTTCCTCTGTCGCATTAATTTCTGAATTTTCTTCATGGCGTCTGTTCTACAAATCAAGACAAAAAAAAACCATAAAGCATAAAGATATACTTTATATCATTTCAACAAACATTAATAATAAATAGTAAATATTATTCTGCTTAACCATCACAATGCTAATACATACTTTTGATCGTCGATAGGCGTGTCTAAGGTTGCATCAAACGGCACCACTACAGGTATAACAGCATCGCGCATAACAGCAGATAATTCGAGACTGACAATGTCCCAACGTTCCTCCAAAGTAGGAGCCGCAGGAGTTACGTTTTCCTCAGTAGGTTCTGGTTAAAAGAAATCGAACAATTTTGTGCATATCAAATTTAATTTTATATTACTTTAAATTCTTCAACACAGTCAATACACAAATAGATCTTACTTTTTCTCTTTTTAACCTTTCTTCTCTTTGCCTTTACTTTTTGGACTATGAGATGCCGTTGGCCTTTCTGGCAGAAGTGTTCAAGCATTTTTAGAAATATGTGAACAGTCGTTATAAGATCCAGTAAGTACTGCCTGAAAGATAAGCGTATATGTAACTACAATGTTTTAAGCTGAACTTAAATCGGTAAACTTAAACCGCCTTCCTTCCTTCCTTCCTTCCTGTGACAAGAAATTAATTCAATCCCGCTACTCGCGCATTAATTTGTCAATTTAGTTCCGGCAACGTGCGCTACCGCTATCAAAGCCAAAGTTTGACGGAACCGTCGTCCTGTTTTCGTCAGCGTCCCCGTAACGTCAAAGTATAGTAGCAACGTGGTATTGCGGTACGTCGCGCCGCCCTTACATTTCCATCGTGGAAATCCGCGCAAAACCCGTCAAACTTGTAGCAAGTTGAACGCCCACTGCCTTTTCCCATTTCGCCGGCCGGAAGGTCGATAAAAGTTGTTTATTCCGCCGAGGAACCGTAGAAGGGAGGAAGAAACCGGGTGGGTGCGAGAGCTACCGAGACCAGCTGCCGAAGAAGAGAAATAGTCGAAAAGGAACGGCATCGGAGCGGAGCCGGAGTGGCTTCCTGGCTGGTCGAATCGATTGATCCGAAAGTGAATCAATCTGTCTGCGGTAGATAAAACTTTCGGTAAAGAGTTCTCTCTTTCTCCTCTCTCCTTTCTCCGCGACGCGGATTCGCACGGTACAGACGTGTTCGGCGTAGGACGACGCGTCGCGTCGCATAACTTTTTGCGATACCTGCATTACGTTACTATATACAGCCTGCTAAAAATTCGCGAAGGATTCGCAAGGGATTCGCGAAGGATTAGCGACTTATTTTGCTGAATTAAAAAGGGAACGACTGACGAAACAAACGACTGATTTATAGAAAGAATAAAAGGCGCGATTATCTTATCTTTTTCTTTTGATATTTTTTATTAGTCATTTTCTTTTGAAGTTCTTAAAGCTAATTTATTTATATGTAAGTAATCAAGATGATAAAGTTACACGGCTTATTCTGTGCGCGGTGGTATAATTATGTCGATGAAATTCTATTCACTCACCGTGACATTTTAACCTCGTCGAAGCACAAAAGCTGAGAGAGTATCGTTTCCCGATATTCCGGGACATAAAAGATATTGCTTTTAATTATCTTGCTGGATTCCTTAACACCATCATCTGTGCTCTTATCCATTATCATAAGAGTGTTAAGAAGCTCCTAAAACACGAGATAGATTTTCGTTACCCCCGGTTTCCACGCAGTTACGTACGCGTTTCCGCTCATTATTAACGCGCGTCAAACATACGTCTCCCATAGATTACGTTACGCCAATCAAATGCGTGCTTTTTTGAAACGCGCGTTTGACGCGCAAATTAACGCGCGGTAAAACACATGCATGGAAATAAACCAGTGGGTCTATTCTGTAACTCTTACGACAGTTTTGTTATCGTTTTATTTGCGTTGCACAGATATTATATATGATAAAAAAGCTGCGCAACGACAATATAACGATAACGAAACTGTCGGGTTAGCTTCTCTCTAAACATTCACACGCAACGTTAATTATCGTTTCGTACAATGTCCTACCTGATATGCTTTTAATGCCAAATGCAATCTACGAGACCAAAGCGGTATCCTCTTTTTGTCAACTAATATCATCTCATAATATTGTTCCATTTGTCTTTGAACTAAATAGAACACTTGTGTGGATATAGTTTCGCTAAATAAAATAAAATAATGCATTTATTAGTAATAATAAAATTTTAAATTCGTGCAAAGTATATAAAATAAAAATAGAATTTTTTATATGTTCAGATTGTAAAAAAAATCAATATTAGTCAAACAATCTGTCAGTAAATTTGATCCAACAGAAATGGAGGATCATATGCATTGGTGCATAGCACAGATAACGAATTGTAAACAAAATTCAAACTATATAATATACGTTGTTTAAACGAGAAATGTATAAATGTACAAGATCAATTACCTAACTTTATAATCTAAAGTAAATTTTAATATTAAAAAAAAAGTTATTTCTTGGAAAAATAATATTAATATAGACATCCTGTGGGACAGTGGCGATTTAATAATTTCCATATTTGCAACCGTCATAAAAATTATTCCACGATGTAAAGTTAGATGATTTAGCCTGTACGGACGGATGCTGGAGAATTTTCTTTCTAGACAAGATCCGAAAGAAACCGACGATGCGTAAAACGAGTTCGTAAACTGTCTCGCTTTCTGCTCTCTTTAGGTGAGGTATGCGACAATGTAGACGCTATGAGAAAGTTGAGGCGTAAAAATTTACCTCACATATTTCACTTGAAACTTATAATGTCGATTGAACTCCATGAAGAAACGCAAGGCCCATAGATAGACAGCCGTTTCCCCTGCTTGGCCCTGAGGGTCGTTGATAAAGCAAGATCTGGTGAATTTCATCACGGAATTGTAAACCCCGCTTAGAAATTCTACGCAAAATTCTTTTAGAAAAAGTCGCACGCTGAGGGCAGACGTGCGTTCCTCCTTGGTGTCTTGCAGGCTCACTTTATCTTTGCGTCGCTTCACTCTTTTCTGTTACAAAAGACATGTGCTTTCTATTATTATATTTGTCGATTTTATTCGTATATAATTCACGGAACATAATATACGATCGCAGTTATTTCGACATTCCCAGACGTTTTTGAAAGCAATAAAAAGATATCCCTTGCAAAATTTACCTTATTGGTACCGAATTCCAATGCTTCTATCTTTTGGTACGGTTTATGACATATCATTTGATTTTCTCCGGTTGCTTTCATATTCTGCACAACGTAAGTACCGCCAAATCGTGAGTGTCTAGTTGAGATCGAATGAAAACATGATATTAAAAATTGAACTTATTCATGAAGCAAAATGTATTCTTGAATTTTTCAAGGGTACGAACGTAATGTATCTTAAAATACAATATACGATATTGGGAGAACGATATGTGCATGTACATTTCGGGCAAAGATTGGATTTCTTATTTAATTCTCGCGTTTCCTTTCCCTTCGTTCCTACGCGTGAATTGAGAAGTGAAAATAACGTGACCCTCCGCTACTAAAAAAAGAATTGATTATTCAAATCCAATTTCAGCCATGAGCCCCGAAGATTCAATCAATAGAATAGAAGGCAGCTGTCAACAGCAGATAGTTTCCTAAACGATGAAGACGCGCACCCTACTTTCTCCCACTTTTTTCTCACGAGAGAAGCTCGCTTCCATCTGTCTCCTCGAAATATTTTTAAACAAATAACTAACTTCTCAAAAAGTTTATTTATCGAAGCGTATGAGAAGCATTTTCCCAAATAAACGTCAGATAACTTTTAATTTACATTTAGCTACATGGAAACATTGCAACTTTTAAGAGTAATAATTTCCAATAGTAGAATTCTTATAATTCCTATATAAAAGTAACGTGGAAACAATAAATGGAAATAAATAAAATAAAAATAATAAAAATGATGTGGAGAGCACGTACACACGGCGCAGCTATCCAATTTTGTTCCTATGTTTACTATTGCTATCAAAAAGAGATCTGTGTTCGTGACACAGCTAGGCGCTGCTTTATCGTTTTCCGATCAAATTATCTTTCCATCGATCGATAGAGAACACGCGGAAGGCGGAGGGATCTTTTCACCGCACATCCAGTCCCTTTCAACTCGTAAAAAGCCTTTCGCAAAGACGTGGATACGCGCATCCACGGACTTCTGGAACGCGCTCGTTACAAGAATACGGCTCGCTTCTCTCCAACAAGTGGATAAAAGCTTCTATTCATACTACGGTTGGTCCTACCTTAAAAACTAGGTCATATTCATTATACGCATATCGCATCGCGAACACACCGCGGTAACTCCCAAAGGCATCCGTCAAGTAGCAATCGGCACCTTTTAGTCATCCCACTTTTACAATCACGGGCTTTTAGCTGTGGCCGCTCATTAAAGCGGTAATTACGCGGTAGCTACCCACGTTAAATCCATTCTCCCGTGTATCGCGGTAAAAAACGTACGGATAATACAGCTAACGTATGAATAAAACTGAATTAATACACAGATACTGCTACAGCACGTTTCGTTGTACCAGATAGTACCAGATAGATAAGTCAAATTAAGCACCTATCTAAAGAGCGATTTTAATTTTTAATTCGAAAATCATTGATTTCGGACGAATCTTTCTCGAGCGACCGAATTTTCAAGCAAACACGCGCATTTCCTATAAAAGCTATTTATTTTAAACTACCGTATTTTAAATTTTATATCATACAAAGATATTATTTTAAATTCGTTGGAAAAATTAATTTATACAATGTTTTTTCCTCTCGATTTTTAAAAAATATAATATACATAGCTGCAGCATGAGATGAATAAATGTAATTTGTCTTTATCGTTATTTTATAGGTAGTATACAGAGTATCCCGGAATTCGCTCACTCGAGAATACACGATACAATTTTCTGTGCTAAATATCATGTACAGTTATTCTAAAATTTTTAGAGAAAAAGTAAAATTGTCTACACGCGCGCACCGCCTCTGATTCATGCAAAACTTAAAGCACAGTTAGCTTTAAATTGCTCTCATTTAAAAACTACTGCTCGGACGCAATTTTGCCAGTGGAAAAAAGCGTTCCTTCTGGCACAAAAAAATCGCAATGTACATATCATGTGTGCGAATTTTGGGAAATTCAATTATTTTTACTTTTTCATTAATAAATTAACAAATTTTTCTTATTAATAAATAACAATACATATATAGATTTACCTCGATCCAGCGTATTTTTTTACTTTGTCCATTTTTTCGCGCAGTTCTTTTTGTCGCAGGGCTACGAGGCTAGCCTCGTCATTTTCCCTTTCAGCGGTACTACGTTGCAACCCAGATGCAGCCAATAGGCTTGCATTTTGCTCACGTAACATTAAAGATATAATCTAGTATGAAAAAATAAGACTATTATTAACGAGTAACAAACAAGTTCTTAATGAACAGTATTATTTTAAATATAAAAATATAAAACATAAATAACTATAACTAGTATGCTTTGTATACCTCTAAAATTTGCATGTGATATTGCTGTTCCTTATTGTTACTGACAATAAACAACAAAATGTCCACTATCCCTGAAGCGTGAAATGCAAATAATATCTATAAAAAGAAATTCCATCTGTCACTCAAAATAATATTTAACATAATTAAAAAAATTTTTTTTAAATTTATCTTAATGTTAACGTAGCAATTGACCTCATCGTGAACAGTAGCATCGTTATCAGCTCTTTTATCATTATCATTAGGTGGCACTTGCAGTACATTTCTAATAAAAACAAGTATTCTTTCAATTGTCAACTCATTTTCTTCCCCTCTTTCTGTACTATCCTATAAAATAAAAATTATCTTACAATCTGTAAACTATCAATCGCAAGGATATGAAGGACATAAAGAACTTACAATGTTAAGTAGATTCCCCAAACGGCCAGCTACCGCTACCCACACATTCTCATCGGTTAACGCTGCCTTATACTCTTGTAAATATGAAACAATTTGTTGATACAAACTATACGTCGTCTTCTCAGTTGGTATTTGTTCATTGTAAATTACAAACGCAGAGCTTGTCAAATTAATAAGTAATCTGTTAGAGAAAAACAGATAAATCATACGTAAGTGTATCCTTACAAGTATGTGAGTCATAATGTTCCATACAATTCAATATATTCCAATCTACTTGCACAGTGACACATACCGCAATAAGACATCCCAAAGTTCGATATTCTCAACATGATGTACAAGAATCTTCACAAGATCCGTCTGGAGTAATCTCGTTTGCCCAAGAAAGCGTCTTATAGTATGCGTATCATCATCTCTCTTAAGATATCTAATGAGATCCTTTATAACATCTATCAAAAAATTGATTGCACTGTCAAATATTATTCTACTCTATTTAAATATATCAATTTTAAAATAAAATCAAGATAAATCTTCACCTAAGCAATTTTTGTCCAAGTGATAAGTAGTCCCATCAAAATATCCAATCACAGCGCAAGTGGCAGTGAGTTCAGCCGAGAGATAATCTGCCATGCTTAAACAATTTGCACCACGAAATTTTCAGCGTGCAATATTTATCCCTCAGACTGTCAATGACTTTTATATAGGTACACGACTGCAGTGACTACTGAATAATGGCGCACATCCGTTTCGCTTTTAATTTCGTTAGCCCCCTGTTAAAAATAACAAAGTCCAATAAATATTTAGAAATATAAACAAAGATTCGTTTAAATTTATGTTCTCAACTTTACTACGTTTACGCGAGCGTTACTTCTGTAGTAACTTACGATAATTCACTCGTTTACGCGGAGTAAATTATCTAAGTTACTATAAAATGCCGTTTACGCGAAGGGATTATCGTAAATTACTACAGAACGCTCGCGTAAACGACACTTGTCTTATAACTTGTCTTGGAAATTAATACAAAAATCGTAACTGATTCCGTCAAACACACACTATTTTAACATCATTATTTGACAAGAAGACACGCCGACAACAGCCAAGTATCTTTCTCCCAGAGTTAGCGAGATGATTTCTACTTCAAACACTCACCGAAAAATCAGCTTAACAACGACACTTTGCGAAATATCCAACACCGGCGACGACGACGACGGTCCCGCACTGTCCCGCACTACATCGCGTTCGAGGTTCGAGGTTATGTCTCACGCCGGAGAAGGTATGTCGCGCGCGTGAATTAAGCACTCCGCACTTCTGACAACGAGACGCACACTCGAAACGACCGGTACGAGACGCGTGACGAAAGGCGTTAAGCCTGTCACTAACTTTCGCGCTTCTCCGAGAAAACCGAAACAATAGTACGTGCGTACCGCCGTACCGTCAAACGCAACAGGTGAGAAAAGCGCGCGAACTCGGCATTCGGCAAACCGAGCTCCGAACGGACTTGGCCGGGCGGTCGGCCGCGCTCGGCTCTCTCCGCCGCGGTTCGGTTCAGACCGGTCTCGGCGCGGCGGCGCGGCGGCGCGGCGGCGGTTCGCGGGCTTGCATTGCACTTGCACTGCTTGCAGCCGAACGATGCGGCGGAGCGTTTGGAGCCTTCGGAGGTATTCGAAGGTAAATCATGGTTTGTCTCGTTGCTCGGTACCTATATCATTTTGCCGCTTTTCGCGATTGAAACGAGGCAGGCATAATGTACGATTGGCGCGAGGTAGGAGAAGAAGCAGATATGCTCGAAAACGCGTGAAACATGCACGACGCGCCGCGGTACGTTACAACGGTTTTTTTTTGCTTAACGTCGCAAAATGGCGCGCAATCACTTTGCTTAATCACTTTGCCGAACATTTCAGATTTGTGCGCCGGAACCAATAACCATTGCATCTCGCGTTCAATATCGCGGAATACGGCGCGTTTGACGTTATTACTTATGAACGATTCAGGAAGGATGAGAGGTCGATAGATCTCGTCCTCTCGTGAACCGACGAAGATTTTGACGAATTGCGTTTTATGAGCGCAAATAGGAAGAGTCCATTTTTTTACCGATTGGGCTTCGGGCATTCGGGCAGCGGAGTTTTTTTAAATCTTATATCGCGATCGAACCGAAAAGATAAACGCCAGCGTACAAATTTCGAAAGGGGTATTTCAATTTTCGACGTGACGAACGTGGCTCATAAAAAAAGAAAAGAGAAATAACGAGGCGTCTATTATCGCGCGTTTTGTGTTTAGGTTTTTCGATTACGCCGTATTCGCGAGGCGGAAGGGTCGCCAGCCCGGGACGTCCATTATGTCGTCGTAATACGAAGCAGCGCTTTCGGCGAGCAATCTGCTGATAGACGTCGCCCGCAAAGGAGGAAAATAAAGCCATAAATCCAATTTCGTCGCCCGGCAGGGGCGAGGAGGGACGGGCAGACACAGACCCGCAGCCACCCACACCCTTACACATACGTACAGGCGGTCGAGCAAGGAGAGAGAGGTGACCTGCGACGGGCGAGGTCGGGTAGGTATAAGAGATCGAGTAGGAATAATACAGAGGAACGAGGTGCGGACGACACGGTCAGAAAATGACGGGGGAAGAGGGATGATACGATGTGCCGACGCGTTTTGATGGTCGCGGCTGCACGGACATTCGACGGCTAATCGATATCGTCGAAGGTATCCGGGTCATCGGGTTATCGGCCAGTCGTCCGCACCTGTCCGCTTATTTCGTCAGCGCCGCGTCAGTGTTCTATGACAGCACGCTCTATACATTTTGCGCTTTGTGACGCGCACGCGACGATTTTTGCGCCCGGGACGCTCGGAAAATTGGCCCGAGCGGAGTCGGCCGCTGCTCTTTTCGAATCGATTCGTCCGCGTATACCTACACACGCGCGTCGACACGCTGCGCGATTTCATATTTTTTCCTCTTTCTCGCTGTCTGCCGCGCGGGCAACGGCGGCTTCACTCCACTGCGAAAGCGATATCTAATTCACGTGTAATAATATCTAATATGAAAGAAACACGAGAATCATATATGAGTTAAGGTAAACGTACGGTATACCCTTACACAAAATATTCCGCGATGTGAATTTTGTCTCTCGGTCGGTCGATCGGTGTATCGCGTATAAAAAAAAATAACTGACATGCGAGCGCTTCGTTTAAACGCTTTTGCTCGCAATTATGTGCACATGGGATTATTTATATTTGTAAAACCCTGTGGTCGTAATATTATTAAATTAATTAAACCGAGAATTAAATAATACTGAGATTTATTATTAATTACTTATTTGTATCTTCTCTCTCCCTTTTTCGAGCTTTCTTTTGAGCTGGGAGAGCCCAAAAATTAGCAAAATATGTTGAAATAGCAAGAGAATAAATATAATGTGACGTGATTTTATAATCAGCTCCCTTTGAAGTTGGAGAATACAATCGGGAATAACTGACGTGTTTTGCGGTTCGCCGTGTAAACAGGGATGTTTGATCGCAAGCCCTTTCGATTTTTGATGGAGTTATATTAATGCTCGGCGAATTCAAAAATTTCAAGTCAGATACATTTATCGCGAAAATTACGTGCGCGCCGGCAATGGACAAACCGCTTTTATATATGCGTCACGCTAATGAGCAATAACGACGATAGCGCGATGGTTTACGAATGAAACACAAAATCGAGCCATTTATTGTTTGTCAAGAGCATTGTTTCAACGGTAAACACAATTGCTATTTCAGCTATACTAGCGAATGATTTCTCATTAAAGGAAACAACGGATGTTGGATTATAGATTTCGATTGTACGATCTAAATTTATTGCACGTTAAAATAAACGCTCGATGCACCGAAAAAATGGCAAATTAAATCGTATCAAGAATTGTTGTTCCTGAGAAAATTTGATACAAATTTTTTCTCGCGTAACTATAAAAAATTTACGTCATATTTTGTCGATATTATTTATGGCAGATCCATTATTCAACCGTTATTCAACCATTATACCAAATAGAATGGAAAATGTATGTTAACAATGGAGAAATAATCAATTTGGGACTAGAATTAATTAAACCTGTTTCTTTTGTAATAGTTGTTTACATATAGCGCACGTGGATCAAGAATTTCCCTTTTGCGGAATATTTAAAAAAAATTATTTTCGATTTTTCATGAAAAATACGTAACGCGAAAATATTATAAAGGGATGGCTTTTTCATAGGCACCGCCGCGCGTACCAATAATATTCGTCGTGTGCTGGCAATTGTGAAATTGTTGATGATTTATACTACTGCCTATATTATAAAACATGGTGCGGCTATGGTAATAATTAAATAAAATCGTAAAATAAATTATATTTCCTGCAACCGCGTACGTGTACGGAGTACATATACGTATTAGTTTTGCCGCGAGACGCAAATATCTCGCGTTCAATAGTTGGGAATTTCATATGTTTCCGCGATATTTTTTATTTAATAAATAATATTTTAATTTAGATATATTGTTTTTCAAACAAGACCAGTCTCTTTCGAATGGGAAAAAGAGAAATAGTAAAATTTTTCAATCTTTTCTAAAGCGAATAAACGAGATGTGAAAATGAAATATACGCGCAATCTTCTCCAGGATGGATGGAAGAATACGTCAGCGTGCGTGCTTCAGGGTTAACGCGGGAATATAGCCTGTTCCGTCATGGATTCAATTAGAACGTACTAACGGCAGAGGTTAATGCAAAATTAATCAGACCCTATGCTCTTTAGACGGGTATAACGGGACGATAGTTTTGCTTCTATATAATTTACGGCAAATTCCACGGGTTCTTCATATTTCGATACGGAAAACTGTAAGTCTGTCGGGCTCACGAAGTTGGCAGCTAAATGTCGTGTGCATAATCTACTTGTTAACTAGTTAATTCAGTTAAGTTTTGTAAGTTCCGTCGCGCGTAAACATAACTAGCGGACGAGGCGAGTTGGAAGCGGCAGATTTAGTCAAGCCGAAATAAAGCGATTGCGTTCCGCGCTATAAATTACGATCTCGAGTACTCCTTGCGATTTCCTAGAAGGCAAACTCGAGAGAGTTTGTTGCACCCCGGCCGTCTTTAAAACAGTTCTTGATACAATGGGTCACTCCGTGAAAATTCCAGCGAAAGCGCATTTACACCGTCGACCTTTTTGCGCAAGATATGAATTATTTCTCGTTTAATTTAAACAGAAATCGCTGCAGTTCGCACGTGAACCGCGTCGTGAGTGCGCCTACGGAGATGCATCAACGGATCAACGGAGAAGGACCTGGGGAGATCGAGGAGAGGAGGAGGAGGCCTGGGAGGCATCGTGCGACGACGGAGCAACCGTGGGGTGAGTAATTGTTATTCGTTTATTATTTTGCTACTCTGTGGCAGATTCCGTCACTTTCTCAAGCGCCACTTGATTCGCCTATTATACGTGTGATACTCATTATTGTCAGTACTCGTTTGAGGTTTAACGTGATAAAATTAATTACTTCAAGTATTGATTATTTCGAACACTGCTTTAATGTAAAAATATATTTATATGTTACAGATCAACGCAGGGTTACAACTTACAACTCCGCTGTTGCGCATCGACCGGTAAGTTATTTTTTCATTTCAATATCGCATGTCAAGGCAATGGATTAGTAAAATTGCGAATTTATCGCAGGAAAAATCAATCTTGTTCTCGGCGACTTTTCATTAGCGATGAACTAATGATATAAACAAAACTAAACAAAAAAATAAAATCCCGGAAGGAGAGCGACAAGTTTTCTCTAGGCATTACTGCCTTATACTCTTGTGTTTTTTGTCACTTTGCATAGAGAAAGAGAGAATTTGTTGTATTGTACATTACACATATTTGTTATATTTGTTATTTGTTATATTTTAAATAATATATTAAATCGTTGTTAAATGCAGCCTTCAAGCATAGCAATTTAACGTATAAGAATAAATAACCAACAGTCTTTATTTAAACGTTATATTGTCACAAATTTGTGATGAGAAGTAGACGTGTCTATTACGCCGAATAATTGGGAAATCGTATGGCGGAAAATCTTATTTGCCTACCAATCAATTTGGTGCTACTCGACACTTATATCATGCTAATAGGACTTTCAATTAACGTTTCCAATTATTAATGAAACTTTTAATTAAAGGGATTTATTCCGGAAATCGGCTTAAAAGCAGTCGGGTGTGTGAATCAAATCGTCGCGGACAAACGGATTAAACGGTAGAAATTAAATTCTTGATTATTTGATTTTTCTACTTTCTATACGAAGCAGAATCATTTTTATCAATAATTATTTCCGCTCGTTAGAGGCAGTATACGATGCTAATGCATGCATACCTACAATACCTTTGTGTGACGTTGCTCTTTGGCAAGATATGACAAGGGTAATTGCTGCATAATTTGCGGTAATGTACAGAATTCCCAATT